CGTGAGACGTTCATATCCTTTGACAACTCATTCGTTAATTTACCTTGGAGCCATGCACGCGTTTCGTGGTTTCATTAAGTCCTGTCTGTAAATTTTTAGACTCCTGAAGGATGAGAAGATGTATTAATAACACATAATCTGTTTGCCATCGGAAAAAAAAGAAAATAAATTTATAACCCCAACAAATGGGAATCAATGTTTGCACAGATAAAAGTAAAGCCAATAAAATCATTCCATTGATTTGATTTATCCACTCAAGGATCGCGCGATGCAGTCGAGGCAACAAGATGCGTGAGAGAAAATCAAACAATAATTAAATTTTTGACAAAATAATGTAAACATGAAATGCCAAACGTTATAGCTAAATGGGCCTATTTTTTTTTAAATCATAGAAAGAAAATTGATTCAAGTTTAGTTCTAATCATCAGCGAAAATAACCTCGTTGTTGACACGAAACTTTCTACTTACCGAAAAACTGACGTTTTATGGAATGATTGTTGAAAAAGAGGTTTAGCATGATTTGAACCAACCCAATTTTGCTTGACAGAATTGCAAGAAATAAAATTACAGGGATGAAAATCACGTAGACGATAAAAATAGATTAAATAATCCTGAAGAATAATAGAGAAGATTATCCTTCATCGGAACAGAGCTTCTCAAACTATCTGATACGGCGGTCCGGAATTTTTTTTCTTATTGTGTCACGTGGTAAAATTACCATATTTGACGGTATATAAGATGCATAGTTGTGTAAGACGCACCTCAATTTCAGCAGGGAAAATCAAGAAAAAATAGTAATTAGTAAAATTAGTAGTAAATGGTACAACCTAGGCTATATTTATGAAGTTTTATTTTGGTTAAACAAGCCATGATTACAATTAATAATAATAGGAAAAAGAACACGAGCCTATAAAATCTTTATTATATCCAAAGATAAGAAAACAAAATAAAAATCAAGCAATTATTACAATTGAGCAAAATAGTACAGTTACTATTAATATTTTATTCATCTTTAAATCCATAAAATTCGTCGTCTGTTTTATCAAAACTCTGATAGTCAATTTCAATACTACTATTATCGTCGTGAAATAATCAGTCATCTTCTGTTCCATTGAGAGCATTTCTAATTCCAAACCTTTTTCAAAGATTTCACAACAGTTTCTGGTCCAATATTATGCCAAGCTTTCTTCATCCGTTCACAGACTTGTGTAATGCTGGGTCTTTTTTACTTCCTGTACGTGTAAGGTCTTGATCAGACATTACCATCCACGTGTTTCATTTGCTCTTTCATATTTAAGTCTAAGCTAATAGGAGTTGCTAGGTAGCTAATTTCGACCGACTATCACGAAATTTAAACCTACATATGGCATATAAGATGCAGGGGAATTTTAAAAGCTTTTTTTAGTTAAAACAAGAGCAGCTTGTATGCCGTCAAATTTATTCAGGAAACGATATATATATATAATGAATATAATAAAAGCTGATTATTTTTTATCTTCCATTTATTTTGCAAGAGATAATTCAATATCAAAACATATCAAGACACCTAAATCAAAATTATTATAATTATATTGTAGCTAAATAATCTATTTCGAAAAATGCCAAAATTAAATAATTTATTTCAGATGGCACCAAATATTTTAAGTTCCAGCAAAAGTTATACCGATCGTCCAAAAACCTTCATTTGAAAGCACAAAGTACCAAGTTTGGTACTAGAGTACAAATTCTGACGGTTCTGGCTCTGGCGGTGTACTGTTTAGTTGGTATCTATCAATTCTTCAAATGATTCCTTGGCATAGCCTGGACACTGGCTGCGCACCGGGAGCTGATGGTTCGCGTGCCGGTACCGGTCTGAGGACCATTACTTTGAGTAGAACTGCTATAGACTAGCCTTACAAAATCACAAAGCCCTTTACCAAATAATAAAGAACAGATCAGGTGTACACTTAAAACAGCAGCAACAACTTAAAGAGTAAATGATGATATAATGCAGCTGTTAATTTCCTCACCACGAATTGAAAATGTTTGCCAAGCTATTCCTATTAATATAAGAAAGAACTATAACATTTAGTTGAGAAGAATAATTTTCCGAGGAAACTTTTGTATGAAAAGGATTTTATGAATTTCAAATGTCAATAATGATAACTGTTTGCTTAATGAATGCTAAATGCTTGCTATATGTAAATAGCAAATTTCATTATTAACATTACCAAGACATAAGACGATTGCTTGATTCGTTGATTGAGTCTTTGATTTTTACGTCTTATCAACCCTTTGCAGGTTCTTTAAAGCCAGGAAATATTTTTAGATTGCAAGAATGTTTTGGGGGAGATAATAATGATTTAGTAATACAAGTATTATTAATTACCCAGCGGAAAGAATAGGTGGGTTCATAACTTTCTGCGCGTATTTAATTATAACGAACCCAACGGGAATTGGAACTTGGCTTTCCGGTTAACAATTCCGAGTTATTAAACATTACACCACCCACACATCCAAGCTTACAGCACCTAGTATTCACAGGCGGTCATCCATATAGGTACTGACCAAGCTCGACCTGGCTTAACTTTGGTGATTGTACGGTAACAAGAGTTTCATTGCAATGTGTGTTGTAGAGTTGCTGAGTTCCTGCTCTTCCCTACTACTGTAACAATGGACTGCTCCTAATTATTAATATGACAAGTAGACACATTAGAGTAGGGTTTTGAGTAGTATTTGATTAACTCAATTTTTTTCCATTCTATGTATGAGTATTTGATAAAGCTATTCTTCTTTGCTTCTACATAGTCTTCTGTTCCTTTGACACTCTCTCTAACACAGTTTTTTTTTTAAAAGGAGAACATTAAACAATGCTAGCATAAGATGATATATGAGACGACAAACTATACAAAAATTTTGTGTATTTAAGAAAACTAATAATAAATTCTATGGTTTGGATGGAATTAATTTTTTTTTCCAAAATCTAAAAAATTAAATCAAGATTAAAAATAGATTTATAATATTCAATTTGATCTTCAAAAAAAAAAAAAAACAAGTATAAATGATACCTCAGTATCGCAATATAATTCAGCAATGCAAAGATTATTGTTGTGGATTCCGGGATGAAATCAGGTACCAATAAATGACAAACGCCAAGAATGAATATAGGAAAATAATGTATTAACGTAATAATACAAACTGGTAATGCAGGTTAGTAGTTCCAGGAATACGGGTTAGTAGCAAAATATCTATACAGTCTTTGGTATTGAAGTATCACTGTATGACTTCTTACTGAGTCTACGTGCTCGCTCACTGTGACTTTTGATCGCTACGTTCGTTTTGTCTGTCTGTTACCTTCACCCTCTGTTGCTCTCGTCTGTTCGGTCTGACTCTCGGTTCTTCACGTAGTAGTAGTATATGTATATACTGGGTGAATCCATTTGTGTAAAAAGGGGAGAACCCCTCAACAATTATGATAGTGAACTAGAAGCAAATGCGATACGAAATGTAATTTTATTTTTACTAATACTACTGCTGCTACTACTATTCAGTTACGCGCAATGAGGGATACATGCTTAGGCGATAATGTACCTTTCGATACATGACTAACGAGGCAGATTTTTCCCGCAATAGGTTGCCATTTCTTTTTGAGGTAGACCATTTACTATCCAAAGCTATAGAACACGGTATGTCCTGCTATTTACTCATAGCTGGGGGGGGGGGAGAGAAAAGGTTTCATACCTTTCCCAAGAGTATTAGCACGTAAGTGAATGTAATGGATTCGGTTGGAATTCGAACTCGACACTCAGATTCCTCAATCCGTGTCACTATCCATTGCTCTATCGTACCTCCTCCTACTATTACTGCTAATACAAATAGGAATAATAAGATTAATAAAAGACGAAATAATTAGCCTTTCAGAAGTTAGATGAGGGTCTAATATCGCGGAGGGCATCCTAGATCCCGGCAATGTAGAGCAAATCGACATGCCATCGATTTGACAAGTGGTCGGAAGATCACACGAGAGATGTTGAGCTCCCCACGTTTCAATGGCTACTATTAGTTCTAATACTACGACTACTATTATTACCACAACTACTACTAATAATAATAACGTGAAAAATAGATATCCACATAGAGAGAGAGAGAGAGAGAGAGAGAGAGAGGGGGAGAGAGAGAGAGAGAGAATATAAACATACTAGCCGCACTTGGTTGGGCTTTCCTCATGTTCAAGAGTTAAGTCTTTGCACATTCTCAGCATCGGAACCTCCGCTGGCTGCCGTTTGATCTGAGTTTTAATTTGCACGGGGCTTTTTTTTTTGCACGCTGCCTTCTTGGCTCTTTTAACTAAATTAGGTCATTTGTTGGAGGAGATTTCATTTTGCGAGGCATACTTCTGCTGTAGGCGATAGGCATCAAGAAACTACAGAATAACTCAATATCGATCACTGCATTTAAGTATTGCATTAATATTTAAGTTTACCTATTTAAAAGCCCAACGATAATTCTTCTATCGCCACTTAATTTAAAGAAAATTTGATGTACGTAGCTCCTTACTTTCCGTATAAAAAATATTTTTATTTCATGGCTGATATCCGATGGATTTCGCAATTAATTTTGATTATACCCAAATTTATTTCCAAGTTATAAAAATGATTATCGCACAAAAGAATTCGCCGAAAATTACATAAAAAATCGCAGAAAACAATCACACTAATGAAAACTTCATAATTCAAAATGTTTGTAACAAGAGCTATTGAAACTTAGAGAGTTTTGTCCCTTTAATAGAAAACATGTGACACAGTGATACACTGACATACGCATTTATTATATAGAAGAAGGAGATGAGCTATTGAGAGTTGTGTCCTTTTCATTGAAAAAGTGTACCACACTGACATTGGCATTTATTATATAGATATAAGTAATCATAAAAATATAAATATACATTATATAATTTGTAAATTCACATTTACTGATTCCAACTCATTATCTCTGACTAAATTTCCTTCCGCAAACAAGTTTTTTTACCTCACGGCCCATGAAAGCCGAAGAAATATAGATTGTTTTAAACATTTAACCTGTTAGAAAATCACTCTATTGGGGTAGACTGCTCTAGTTCCACGTGCCATAATGTGCAAATAAAGGGTTCAGTTCGACATGAACCACCTGAAGAAGGCCGCAGCGTACAAAGGCCGAAACCTTGTAATAAATATTGCGACAAAGATGAGGATAATAGCCCGAATAATGTAAATAGTGTACATAATACCTCATCTCAGAAATATAGACAGATACTGAAAGGGCGAAACGTTGTAATAAATATGGCGACAAAGATGAGGACAATAACCCGAATAATGTAAATAGTGTACATAATACCTCATCTCAGAAATATAGACAGATACTGTTAGAAAATCATTATTCACCAACATTCTTAGAAGGAATAAGCCAGACATCACTGTGTTCATTATTTCAATGATCATTCAAAAATTGGCATCATATCAAGTATTTCAGTTCAAGCTGATTTCCCGCTCAAGGCTCACTAGTTTGTTGTCATATTCTATCTAAGTTGCGTGGAAACTTTAATAAAAGACGAAATAATTAGCCTGTCAAAAGTTTTGGGATGGGTGCCTAATACCGTGAAGGACTTCCTCGGTGCCGGCGATGTAGAGCAAATCGACGTGGCATCGATTTGACAAGTGGTCGGAAGACCTCTAGAGAGATGTCGACTTCCCCCGTTTCGATGGCTGGTCAGAGATATCTGATATTTGTTAGAATCGAATCTTGCGTGTGAATAGATCTGTCCAGCAGAAATGCTTGATTGGGCTCATGTCAGCCGGAAATAGTGACCAAAATAATCCGGGTCATCAATGCGTCCAATAACCGCAGGAACAACATATTTTTTGTGAATAAATACAGCCCATGAACATACGAGGGCTGGTTAAAAAATGTTTAACTATTGAAATATTTATAAAGATTTAAAATACCCAAGTCTTTATTTAACCCTAGTTTATATGTATTTAATTTTAAAATCCAGTATTTTTCTTTTTTCTGCGTGTGTATGTGGAACTGAAATAAGAATCTATCAATAAACATTTACAGTTTTCTAATGAGTGTCCTGATTGATTAAAGTGTTCAGCTATGAGGGAATAAGGATTGTTTTGACGTATGATTTGTTTATGATTGTTGAAGCGAAATCTAAAATTATTTCCAGTTTCACCAATATATCCACTATTGGGACATATCGTGCAGAATAAATAGTAGATTATGTTATGGCTATCACAGGTGAGGCGAGGTGGGTGCATCTTGATATTGGTGTTGGGTACAGAAAATACATTATATATTAAGTGTTTGCAAACTAAGCAACGAGGTTTGTTACATTTGTAATTTCCTGATTGGTTTGTATTGTTTAGATATTTGGTAGAGGTGAGGATAGCTGATAGATGTCAAAATAAAAAAAAAAACATCGAGAGATGTACGATAAAATGAAAACTATAACACATATCAATTCGGCATCTAATCTCCTTCGAATCAGTCCTCTTCTGAATCCACATTTTTCATTCAGCGTCTTTTCCTGGAACTACTTTTTGTGGTATAGACGCCTAGAAATATTGTTCCTTCCAAGCGGGATTTGATTTTTAAAGACGAAAAAGCCGCAAGCGGCGTGATCTGCGAAAATGCGTTAATTGCGAAATGTTAGAGTTTGTCTGACTTGGAGAATGGTGTGCTTGTTCATACAGTGCTGCACAAGCCATGGAAACTGATGAAAACTCTGTGGTGTAGGGATACGACCACACTCTACACACGTTCCTTCCAACCACTAGTACAAAACAAGGAAAGTCGGGGGAAAACGTTATATCTTTGTGTGTATGCGCAACACTGGTCCGGGCCAATCTTTTCCAAGCGGCTTCACTAAGCGTACTTTAGCCACGTTACCATAGCAACAGATCAAATACGTTTCTTATCAGACCTCATAGGTGGAAATGGTCACGTGTCAGGGCTACGAAGGGGTTAGGTGGACTTAACGTGCAAACCATTATTAAATCCTTTGAGTAGCAAATCGAAGATAATCATTAACAAGAGCACATTTCCCAACCACGTAATGAGGCAATCGCGAACGAGTTTGTAACCTGCTGTTATTAGTGGTTTCATTAGAAGTAGGCATTCATAGCTCGATGGTAATTCATCTATGAAACAAAGAAAAATAGATTTATCGATAAAAATGCGTTCAGAAAATAAGTTTCATGAAAATAAATGCTATATATATATATATATTTTCACATATAAAAACTTATATATATATATATATATATATATATATATATATATATATATATATATATTGTTTGAATAGAAGACAGACCACGGTAAGATTCCATGTAATAAGCTATTTCACCATAACCCCTTTTACAGGGTTCTGGATCATCAGACTTTACTTCCGAAAGCTGAAATGAAAAATGAAAAGAAATTCACACGTTTTTGACGGACCTCATCAAGTATACATAAAATTAACGAAGTGAGGGAATGAGGTGGGAGAGTCTGATGATCCAGAACCCTGTTAAAGGGGTTATGGTGAAATAGCTTATTACATGGAATCTTAACGTGGTCTGTCTTTTTATTCAAACAT